TTCTTAGATTCATTATTGGTGGCTAAGAAAATGGGCTTTAAATTTTATTTATAAATCCTCTTTGAATTGTCTTAAGTTGAATGCGCCATTTGGGAACACTATTACCATTAACTTATATGGAAATCTCATAGAGCATCCCAAGACCCAAAAAATAACCTACCAAACCATACCAAATAGGAACTTTCTACTTTCAGATAACAGGGGAAACCTGTAGATTCAGTTAAGGAATATCACAAACTTTTGGAAACGGATGATGGGGGTTAAACAACAAAAGGAAAATACTTAATGCCAGTCAACTTTAAACTTTAAAATGGTTATAATGGTAAATTTTATATCAAATATATTTTATCACACATGTGTTAAATACATCTTCAAGGAGTTCACAGACTAGCATAGAAAAGAGACATAACCTGAGTATTTTGAGGAGGGCTTTGGAGGAGTTGCCTGAGAGGGGTGACTGGGGCTAGCTGACTTTGCAGCCCTGACATTCAGTGCAAACCAGAGATGGCGGTTGTCTACAATGTGATGCATGTGGGGGACAAGCCTTTACACGGCAGCCACGCGCCCTCTAAGTGTTTGTCCTGTTTCATCTGGGCTTTATCCTAATGTCCTCATCAGTCCTCACTGTCTGCTCAAAAATCTGCTCAAAAATCCAGACTGAAGATGAGAACCAGTATCTCCGGAAAAATCTGTTTATCTGGTAGACGAGCAGGGGGTGTGCAGATTGAGCGAACTCAGGTCATTCTAGCCCTTGTCGTTATCAATATCTGAACCCTTTCCAATCCAAGCCTTAGAGACACCACTCTCTGATATCTGACTAGGATTGTCCGGACTGAGTCTCTCCACAACTGTGACACCTTCTTAGTGCCTGGACTCTCCAACCCATTTGCATCTTTTAGCATTCCTCCACATCACCTCTCATGTGATAAAATAAGCCCTCAATGCTACTCAACAATCTGATTATATTTTCAAAGTCCATTTACTCTCTCACTGTTCCCCTTTCTCTCTATTTCACCCTTTCTCCTCTGTCCCCAAATTCTCTTTATTCTTCACTCTCAGCTGATGACTTTGCTTCTTAATTTGTAAAGCATGTTTCTGTCCCTACATCAACTCATACATTCAGACCCTACTCCCATCACCAGGGAAGAAATCTATCTTCTATCTAATGTCAACTTTCTAGTTAAGTATTGGATCCCTCCCAGCTTACCTGCTCATTAACATGCCTCAATATTTATCTTTTTTCATTCTTGCATTATCACATTTTCTTTCCTTTTTTGGCTATTCCCATGAGCATATAAATATGTAAAATCTTTAATTTAAAAAAGTATCTCCTTTGACCACACATTTCCTTCCATCTATGGCCCCATTTCTGTCTCCATTTATTCTTTTTATTTTATTTTTTTGAGCCTACTTCAAACAGATTTTTGTTACCACACTCTACCAAAAGCCTTCTTATCAAGTTTACCATTGATCTCCAATGGGCCAAGCCCATTGCTCAGTTTTCAATGCTATTTTTATCCACTTTAGCAGCATTTGATAAGAGTTGCTAGTTCTTGAAACCTGTTTTCATTTGACCCTGGAACCCCAGTTTTTGCAAGTTTACTGCTGATCTCACTGATTATACCTTTTCAAGATCCTTCATCTCCAAAGAAACAGGAAATGTGTGTGTGTTAGAGACCCAGAAAGTTGATAATAAAATTTCAGCTAGAAAATCAGTTAAGTTGGTGATTGAAATTAGAAACAGTTAAGTTGGTCTGAGTTCAAAGGCTGAGAAGCAGGAGAGCAAATGGTATCAGTTCCAGTCCTAAGGCAGAACATCGATGCCCCACCTGTGACATTGATTGCCTTGAGAACAAATTCTCCCGCTTCCTGGCCTTCTGTTCTATTTATGCTTTCACAAGATTGATGAAACCCATCCACTTAGGGAGGGTAATGTGCTTTACCCTTCTATGGGATTCACGTGTAAATCTCACCCAGAAACATCCTTCTAGACACACCAAAATAATGGGCACCAATGGGCCAGTCAAGTGGACACATAAAATTAAACCTCACAGCTTCCTAACTTGTTGGTCTGCTTTCACTTTGTACACTAATTTACCCTCCACACAACAGAGGACTAAAAAACCAAAACCACATCATGTCACCCCTCTGTTGAAAATTCTTCAATGCTTTCCTTTCTCAAAGTAAAATTTAAAAACTATCATGATCCCTAAACCATACTGTTCTGCTCCTCATCCCAACCCCAACACCTGCCACTCCTGCCCCACTTATTCTGTTCCATCCACACTAATATTATTCAAGAAGTCAAGCATGTTCCTGTTGCAGGAGACCCCTTGACTTGAAATGGACTTAAAACAAATATCCACATTGTTTTCTCACTCCACTGTTTTTTATTTTTTAATCTTAGAGGCCTTTGCAATAAACCTATTTTGCTAGCTTATTAAAGCACCTTTCATTTCTCATATTTTGCTTTACTTTTAAAATAAACCTTCTTTTGTGTGTTTGAGATTTACAAAAACTTTGCAACAGCGGTAAAGAGAGTTCCCATCAACCATGCTCCTGTTTTCTCCTACTATTAACACCTTACACTAATGTAGTACATGATCACCTCTAATCACCCAATCTTGATCCTTTATTATTAAAAGTCCGTATTTGATCCGGGTTTCCATAATTTTTACCCACTGGCCTATTTCTGTCCCAGGAATCCCATCCAGGACACCACATTCATTGCATTACAGGGCTCCTAAGCTCCTCTAGGCTGTGGCAATTTTACAGACTTTCCTGGTTTTTGAGGACCTTGAAAGCTTTGAGAAAAATGGGTCAGGTATTTTGAAACCCCACTACTGGAATTTGCCTGGTGTTTTTCTCATGATGAGATTGGGATTATGGGTTTAGAGAAAGAAGACCACAGAGATAAAGGGCCATTTCTCAAGGCTACATACTTTATCAGTATGATTTATGACTGTTAATGTTGACCTTGAGCACCTGGCGAGGCAAGGTTTGTCAGTGTCTTCACTGTAAAGTGAAGTTTTTTTCTCCTGTAAAGTCTCTTTTTTTTCTCCCCTCCTATACTGTATCTTGGCAGAGAAAGTCACTCTATCAGCCCATACTTAAGGAGTGGGAAGCTATGCTTTTCCTCCTTAGCAGTTGGGGTTTCTTCTTCTTCTTCTTTTTTTTAAAGGTTTATTTAGTTATGCACACAAGAGCTGAGGTCCAGGCCAGAGATGCAGAGGAGTGAGAGGATCCAGCGGAGACAGAGTAGGGAACAGAACAGGCAGATTGACTGAAATACACTGCTGAGGGGAGCAGTGGGCGAGACAGGAGAGGTCTGCTGCACCATGTGGGTAGCTCCCTGGCCAGCCTGGGATCGTACTTGTGCTGCAGAGGCTGTAGATTGCCTCACAGTGTGGTGCTTACCCTCCTTGCTCCACCAGGGTGGCCCTAGAGTTTCTTCTTACATGTCTAGATTTCAGCACTGGAGATCTCTTCACCACTTATTTATTCAATCATTCATTTAGATCATCATGGACTCACGTTTGTGCTTTCATTTCCTACTTTGGGCTGTCATCCAATAGTACTTCATTTATTTTGTTGCTCAACTTGTTCCAGCGTTGGTTTTGGGAGATCCTTCAGCTGGCTGCTACGTCTCCTTGCCAACCCTCATCACCCTCATCAACGAAGGGCTTTTCTCCTTTGGGGAGCTTTTTCTTACTTTTTTAAGCCTCAGCCTTAGTTTTCGAGATACTGACCGCCACCGCGCACACATCCTCTGCTCACCTGGCTGCCCTGGGCTGTCTCGGTCCCCGCGCCAGTGCGCAGTTGGAACGGAATGACCGAAGCAGTCGCGCAGGTACAGAAACCCGGGGTGGGTTCCGGAAAGGCGGTGCTCCGCGTCGGTGGCTCGGAGGGGGCGCAGGTGCCGGGAAGCCCCAGCCGCTGGCCGGACGCCCACGCCCAGCCGTCGGCGCCGGGGAAAAGCCCCGCGGGCGCGCGTCACGAGCGCAGGCGATTCCGGGGGGAAAGTCCGTCGGGGCAGGCGACCTGCGCCGGGGGCGCGAAGCAGGGGGCGCTGGGCTGGAGCGGGGAGCGCCTCCTCGGGCCGCACGCCCCAGCGGGATGGGTCCGGGGCGGCCGGGAGGCTGCCGGGGCGGGGCGGGGCGCGGGCCGCGGGCGCGGCCGTCGGGGGGCGGCGCCAGGGCCCGATCTGTGGGCGCAGCGGACGCCGGGGGGCCGGGTCGCCGGCCTGCAGATGCGGCGGCGGCGCGGAGCTCGGGCGGCCCGGGAGGAGCCCACCTGCGGCCGCTGGAGGCTCGGGAGCCGCGGCCGGCGCCGGGGGCCCGGCGGGAAGTTGCGCCACAGGTTTGCTTCCCCCTCCCGGCGCCCTGCGCGGGACAGGTGCGGGCGGAGGAGCGCGGCGTCTGAGTTCTCACGGTCGGTCCCGTTCCAGTTTTCTTGCTTACGCTCTTTCTCGCTCCCTCACCCCCTCCCGACCCCGGAGGCGGGGCGCACCCCGCTGGCCTGTGAGCGGAGAGGTGCGGGGCTGGGCCCCCCTCCCGCCGTGGCCTCGCTTGCTGGGGATCTCGAGGGATGCATACGGTGGGGTGATGCTCTGACCCCAGTCCTGGTTCACGCCGCCCCTTGGCACCCCAGGGAACGCGCCTGTAAAGCGGAGAGAAGTTACCCCATTGGGCAAGCGACTGCGCATTTCGGCCTTGCTGGAAGTGAACCCAGCGATACCTGTTGATGGCTGCCCTTGGGCCCACCCAAGACTGCTTTTGCTTTAAGTCAAAAGCTCGTGTTTTGTTTTTCTTTAATTAGGGGAGGCTGTACCCCACCCTCGCCCTCCTTCGCCCCCCCCCATTTGATCACCTGCTTCACTTCCTATTAGGTTGCACTTTCTCAAAAAACACCAGAATTGGTACTTCATAAGTTGAGCTTGACAGTATGGTTTGGGAGCCAGAAAATGCGGGGAAATTGATACTGCTTTGAAACAGCTCCTTCCCACACCACCTAAGAGTTTCTTTTCTTTTCTTTTCTTTTTTTACTTAAAGAATGGAGACAAGAAGGGGCAGCACCTTTGAGAACCACACTCTCCACAGGGAATTCTAGCCTCGCCTGGGGTGACTACAGAGACCTCTTTAACTTCCTGTGGTTCTCAATGTACTTGTGTAAGTCGTTTCTCAGCAAAGGGAGGAGTTGTTATTTCCACATTGGTATCCAAAAATGAGTCACAGGGTTCCTTTCTTAATTGTGAGCCTCTGTTAATAAACTTTTGAAAAGCCAGGTTTGCTGTTTCCATAGTTGATATAACACTGAGAGGTGCAATGCCTGCACTGCTAAGCTGGGGCGTGTGTGTAGGAAGCAACAGTTCAGTTTTCAGTTTCCTAAAGCGCCTGATGGTACCACATACCAGCTAGGGTCAGTGGGCTGATGTCAGATAACCATTAAAATCATGTGCTTTGCCACAGAAGCCCAAGAAAAAATTAATTTCATCATTCAATAAGTGGTTTGGTATGACTTTCACTGGTAGTATATGGTAGAAATACCTCGTTTTTCACAGTAATTGCATGTGACTGTAAATCAAAATGTCTTGGAGTTTGTCTTCTGCAGATTAGTGGCAAAACCACGTGATAGTTTGTGAAAAAGGTGGATAGGAGTCCTAGCTGAGAAGTGAAAATGTGTTAGCCTCATTCCAGCTGAGCACTAGCTGTTAGAAAGGGGCTGTGCAAGGTAGAAAAGCCTGTTGGTTGGCGCTCATCTGACTCAGCTCAGCAAACAGTTATCCAGCACCTTCTTTTAACTCTTTGCTGAGCTCTGATCAAACAACTGTGAAGAAGGGCTCTTTCTGACAAGAGTCCCATACTCCCTTTTGGAAGGTGGGCAAATCCTCTGGAAAATCCAGTAGAAGGAGGTGAGTACTCTTAACACACGCAGGGCTCCTGTGTCAGTGAGAGTGACATTTCTGCATATTTTGGGATTTTAAAGGAACTGGGTCGCTGAAAAACTGAGGAAGGCTGTGAGTTTAATCCTAGTGAGTGTCTCATTCAATAAGTGATTTTATTGGGTTGTTGGAAAAGTCATGATGTATTTTTACTTGAAAAACATAGAATAAATATTTCATGACTTTTCTGACAACCCAATAAGATATCTTCATTAGACAGGCATGATTTTTAGTGTCTGTATTAACCATGTTTCTTGGTATTTAATAAACCCAGCTTGTTATTGCCCCTAGACAATTACAGATACTGTTAGTTATTATCCTTTTAAAAACTCATGTCTAATGAATGATTTATAACTTCACAATACCCTGTGGAAGCAGCTTTCTGATTGATCATTGTTTTTAGAGGGCAGATCAATCTATTCCAACATGTTACAGCTTTATGAGTCAAAATGAGCAAATCTGTGTGCAGTTTACTGTTGGCATTGAAATCTGCTGAGGTGCTTTTGTACTTGATGCTGAAGGTATTTAATTTCTTTGACTCCATAAGAAATCCCAGCTAGTGAGGGAAACAAGGGTAAACCTGAGACAGTTTAGCCTTAATTTCCATATTTCATTTCTCCATCTCTTCACCACTATACTTGAACTTGACTTTTTTCATCAGTGTTAGGAAATATGTGGGTCTTAATATTGGAGGAGGAATTGCCAGATGGAGGGAGAGGCAACCCAGGAGAAGGGTGGGCATTGCAGGATCAGGGAATCCAGCCTGATTAGTGTAGTCCAGGGACAACATAGGAGGTGAGGCTGGAGAGACAGGCCAGGCAGGATCACAAAGGCCACTTGCCACATAGGAGCTGTGCATCTGTCCTGTGAATGACTTCAAGCAAGTGCATGATATTGTCAGATGCATGTTTTAAAAAGATAACTTTGAATTCAGATGGAGGCTAAATTGGCAGAGAGAAACAATGGCCTTCGGGAGACACAGAGATTATTGTAATATTTGAGCTAAGACACTAAGGCTTGAGTTGGACAGTGACAATGAGGAATGAAAAAGAGGGAAGTGGACAAATATTTAATTGATGGAACCTGGCCATGTCTTTCTACGAGGGTCCTAAGAGAGAGGGAGGAGGTTAAATGGCTCCCACATTTTTAGGTAATAACTGGGGTAAGAACCCATGTGACAGAGTAGGTATAGGTTAAAGGATGAGAAACTCACACAGAGCTTGGTATGTAATCAGTGCACATTAACATTTTTTAATGAATAATAATAATAGCTAAAAATTCTTGAATGCTTATTATATTCCAAGCACTATTCTAGAATCATGTGACATATCTTTTATTCCTCACTGTAATCCTGAGAGATCAGTATAGTAATTAATCACTTTGGATAGGTGAAGAAAATGCACTGTTATTAATTGACAGAACCAAGAATTGGTACCAAGGATCTGGCTTCAGAGCTTAAATTCTGAGCAATTCAGCTTTGATATGCTGTTTCCATGAATGAATGGTGTCTTTGACATGGAGGTAAGTGCAAAGTGGAGTCCCTCTTCAGATCCTGACCATTCTCCCTCATCAGGAAGAGCCTAGGACATAAGATGGGCTCTCAGTGGCCTCACTGTCTGCCCAGCACTCTTACCTCACCTCCACACCAAGAAATCTAGGAATAAGCCTAAATTAATCAGAAAATTTGTCCTGATGATTTTAAACATTTTAATGTAGACTCAGTGACTGGAGGCTCCCAGGTCTTCCACAGCTATCCTTACAGCTAGCTCCCTGGGTTTGCACCCTTGGCAGCCATGGAATGTTCAGCTTTTCCTGTTTCTTAGATGCACTTAAGGTTTTCTTGCTCTGAGCTGTAGTGGCCCTCTATGGGGAAATAGAAATGCTGGCCAGGGGGTATTCATCTGCAGAACATGTCAACTGGCGTAAGAATAACAAAAGCAAGCAGGGACATAACTCTAGATCTTGCATTCTGCTTTCTGGGGCTAATTTTGTTCTGGTTTTATCCTGTAGCAGGTGCTTACCTGCTCTTCCTACCTTTATCTCCCAGAATTTTCATAAGTAAAGCTAGCCCTGCTATGTCCCCTGTTCTCTTGCCTTTAATGAATAAAATGATTCACCTCTCCTGGGATCAGGCCCTGCTTAGGATTTGTGCATCCGGGTAGATTTCTTTGTTTTTGAGGAAGATATTTTTGGCTAATACTTGTCCCTGCCCAAAAAAACTGGCCTCAGCACTTCACCTATTCTCATTGTTTCATGATTCACTCCACCCTGATTTGGAGTTACATTCTGATTTTTGTTCAGCAAGCAGGGTCTAATTATCTTTTTCCCAGAGGTCTCTATTTTGGTTCATTTAGGAATCATACACACTAATTTAATATGTACCTAAACTGAATCAGCAAGTTCACTGAATGTTAGAAGCTTTCAAATATTCAAATATCTAAAACTCGAAGTTTTAAAATGTTTCATTCGGCTTTTTTTTTTTTAAGATTGATTTATTTGTTCATACAAGAGCTGGGGTATAGGCCAGAGGTGCAGGAGGGTGAGAGGATTCATCAGAGACAGAGTGGGGAACAGAACAGGCAGACTGACTGAAATACACTGCTGAGGGGAGCAGCGTGTGAGTCAGGAGAAGTCTGCTGTGCCATGTGGGTTGCTCCCTGGCCAGCCGGGAAATTGAACTCATGCTGCAGAGGCAACGGACAGCTTCATAGGTTGTGTCTTAACCCTTGCGCCATCAGGGAGGCCCACATTCAGCTTTTCTTATGATTTACCAGGAAATCAAGACTTTGCTCCTTTTCAGTTCTATGAGACTTACATGAAGCTTGCTGGGATGATCCAGCTTCATGTTTACCGCTTGGCATGAATTCCTATGTGGCCCTCTGCGATTCATTCAAGCTCAGATAACCAAGCCAGTCTTGGTTAATATTTCATAGTGGGTTTGTCATATCTTTTCATTCAACTATGGTTTTCCTGAGAGCAGGGAGCCAACAGAATTGGGGGTTCCCAGCATCTACCTATTTCACCCATTCTGTGACTTGTGCTGAGAATGAAACCATCTGTCAGAATAAGTGGTTGGCTACTCCTCTGAGTTGTGGATACCTACATCATTTGTATGTTTCATTCAAATTCTCGTAATGGTCAAAACTTTGCTCATTTTCACTGTGAAGTAGTTTTAGAACTGGTAATTTCCAAATTCCTTCTTGACCTAATTAAATGTTGTCAATTAATTTGTATGCTCCCTTCCAACCCTCCAGTAGATACAGTGTCAACATTATCCAAAAAATATTAACTTGCTTAGAAAAATATTTCCCATTTTGAATATACAATTCTTTTAATTGTTTCCCTGTTTAAAGGGTCAGTTGACCTTTGCGATTAGTCATCACATAACTTCTTGTGTAATAATGTGAATTTCAATTTTTCAGAGCAGTGGAAATTGCACTATTGCTATCTTCATATGGAAAGAGCCAACAAATGTTGGTCTGCTGTTTCAGTTTCAGGATTTCAACAGCTTCTGTCTTACCTCATGGTTTATATCTGGTTTTCTACTGTATGCCTGCATGTATTGATTATTGACACAAATGTGTGTGTTTGATATAAAGTAGGGCACAGTGTGAGAGCTGGATTGTTTAATATTAATGGATTTCACACCTCCTTCTTCCTTCTTTCCTCATTACTGCCTGGTAAACCAACATATAATGATGTTAGCTGCCAACCTTAGGTAGCTCTTTGTAATTCACAAAGTACTCTCAAATAGATTATCTCTTTGACAAAGTAGAAATATGTAGTAGTATTGCTGTTGTATCTATTTGCATTCTGTAGAGGAGGAAACCCTTAGAGAGATTAAGACCACCCACGATTACTCAAGACCCACCACACCAAGCTGTCAGCACTTAATTGACAGGGCCAATTTCAGTACATTAGATTAAGTTCCATGGACGCAGGTTCTGAGATATGCATACAGGAAGGTTATTAGGAAGTGCCCTGGGAACAACTGGCATGGAGAGAGGAGAGCAGACTATACAGAGGCAGAAACTGAACTGCATGGGCACTGGAGGCCTCAGCATCAGGGATCTTGAGAGCTGGGATGAGCCTTTAGAATTGTTCTACTATGCAGAAGCAAGAGTGCTTGTCATTGTAGTCCCGCATTAACTAGCCATTGGATATGGACTGCCCTGGAGAAGAAGGTTTAATCTTGGGTGAGCAGATCCCTTTAGTCAAGGGCAGTTC